GGACACATGTAGCAGTTTGGACGGGACTGTCCTCCAGCCCAGTCCACTTCTGACTCTGTTTGCTTATCGTGTTCAGCACAAAGAAGCTCCTTTTTTTTCCAGTTAATCAAGCCGAACTGACAGACACTTGTTTTTTTGTTTTGTTTTTGTGGCTAAACGGACACATACTGTACACCTTCTACACGGTTTTACCTTCAACTATACTGTGAAATCATTCCAAATGCACTCTGCAGGAGACCGGAGGACAGAAAGGGCTCGGTTGTTTTCACGGGCAGTTTTTTTTTTACCTCGGCCGGAGCCTTTTTTCGGACCCCGCCCGTAAAAACCGGCAGCCACGCGTCTCACACGAAGCCTTCAGTCAGGGGTCAGGGGTCAGGGGTCAAACCTCACCCGGGCTCCAAATGTAGCAGGGCCACTGTCATTACCTCCAGGTCAAAGGTTAAGCGTTTGCTAATAGGGCCCAATGATTAAGGCCTCCGAGATGGTGACGGTGATTAATTATTTATCCTTCTGTCACAATGGAAGAGAATTAATGCCTAATGGGAGACGAGTGCCATCTGCCCTGGTTTCTCCTTAAGCTCTTCAGGTCTCGTGTGTGCTTCAAAGTTGTCGTTTTGTGCCTCGTTTCCACATATTTGACGCATAAAAAAGCACTTAACCAGGAACTCCTCAAGCTAAACTTCTTTCTTAAGCCAAAATCAATGCATGCCGAGCAAATCGTGCATCTGTAAAGCATCTTTTCCCTAAAAAAAAAAAAAAAAGTGAAACTAGCCTAAATGCGCTAGCGGTGCAGTTCCCAGGCTGACCAGTAGGGGGACCAAACGCGAACGTGGAAACGAAGCTTTAAAGCGACAATGAAAGCGTCACAGGACGGCAAACTAATGTACAGACCACCACAGCTTTTGCTTTTGCTTTGTATTATTTGCATAATGAGGTTTTAAAGGTATTTCTAAGCTTTTTAAATGTAGCATTTCCCGCCTGACGTCTCCACATTATGTCCAACTTGTAGGTTTTAATCGCATCTTACAAGGGATTTGTGTGTTTTCCCCCCCCAGACATGAAGCCGTGTCACACTTTGGAAATGTTGGGTGTCTGTCTCCGTGTTTTTCCTGGGTGGAAAAAGTCGTGGCAGCTGAGGAGTTTCAGCCAAAGCAAAAGCTTTGTCAAAAAAAAAAATTTTTTTTTAAATGGCTCATTGTTTTGTGATCATTTGTGGGTCGAATGAGCACTTTAAAATGTCAAATTCAGTTTAAGTTTGCTTCCTCTTTTGTGATTTGAGCTGCACAAACCTCCTCTTTTTTTTTAAAATTTGCATACATTTTTGTGTGTATGTGAACGGCCTTCATCCGTTCTTACTACCTCAGTAACAAAACGAGAAAAGAGCAAAAAAAAAAAAAACTACTGGGTGTTGCTCAGGTTGTGTTCAGAGGCCCCAGCATCAGGAAAAAGAGTCAGTGTGTGGGCGTGGGGCCCCTTTCTGCCCAGAGGAAACCCCGATTCCCCGGGGGGATCTCTCTTTTTGAGCCACTTTCCACCACGTCTGCTTTAAAAAGCGTTCATTTCCAAACAATTTTTGTTTGTTTGTGCGTTTCCCAGATAGAAACTCAGAGATTTGTCTCAGATTTGTCAGGATTTCTTGTTTTTTTTTCATTCTGGCAGCCTCGATTGTGTGTAAGCGTGAGAGTGTGTGAGCTTTTTAACTTTCAAAGTCTTTATTAACTTATTTCCAGTTTTTGTCTTTGTTTTTTTTATTGGGAAATGGTCATAGATTCCCTGTCATTTCTCAAACTAATTGTTTTTTTTGTTTTTTTTCTGAAACTATATCTTTGCACTACTTAAAACCTTAAAAGATAACTTCATTGTAACCTTTAGAAAAACACCTACATCCTTATTTGAGACGAGTCGTTTAATTATCTCTGGATCAAACGGCAGAGATGCAGATTTCTATCAGTTTTTAAATTGAGATTTAAAAACTGCTAGTTTTTTTGTACCCTCTGGGTTGAGATGAACTCAAATATAGCAAAACAAACATTAGTGTCTCACTGTGCTCAAGTAAATTTATCTAATTCACATGTCGCAGCTATAACAAAGTATGGAGTTATTTACTTTGTATATGCATGAATGTAACATAAGACTTATATGGTGTTATTGTAATTTGGCTGGTTTGTAACAGGCCAAAAGTGTAACAGATGCATGAGATCATATTCTTTCTGACATAATGTTTGTATAGAAAACGTTACCTAATTCCATTGCTGGGTTGCTGGTGCAGTGTTGCCTTTTATAATCTCGATTATTTTTATTTTATTTGTTAATGTGTGCTCAAATGAATAAAATGCTCACAAATGATTGTGATCTAAGCCAAAAACGACCGCTGGGGTGTTTGTTTTTTGGGATGAGGTGGAAGTGAAGCTTTCTTTGATAGTTACTTTTCACGCAAAATGATCTTTAAAGATTCTTGTTCATTCATTAAGAACGAACAAGTTTAATAACAAGTTTTATTTCAAAAATGAAAGTTGCATTCATTAAAAACCATTCTAAATATGTTTTTTTAATTTAATTACACAATATAGAATCTTACAGGCTCAGCAAATACTACAATTTAGCTTATTAACCAACTTTTGGATCATGTCGGCATCAATAATCTAATTTTTCTGTTTTTACTCAAAGGAAAGGTGGAAATGATCTAAATGATGACTACTTATTCTGCAAATCTTCTGTAAAAGTAAAGAAAAACCACCCAGAAAAAATTGGAAAAGTGGTGAAACTGGAAGATAAAGGGGATTAATTATGATAAATTAGTTTTAAGTAGTGTATTCGGTGTTATTTAGAGGATGAATTTGGGTTTCTGGGAGCCACTGTAATAAAAAAAAAAAACCTAATAGACACTGGTGTGTAACTTTACTACCTTTCTGTTTTAAAATTCCTCAATTTCAAATTGTAAAGCCCCGCCCACTCCCATCCAGCTCCCGGTGGAGGTCTGTAGTGAGGATCCAGCTCTCTGACCTGTCTCCACACTCAGCGTTTTGTCTCCTAATCCTCCTGTTTTCTGCATGCTAATCCTGCCTGTATATTTAATTAGCAAACACATAATTAAGCTCTTTGTTTCTACCTCGGTCAGCGCATTAACGGGTCCTCGGCCTGGAGTCAGCAAAGATTCATTAAGAAGCTCAAGCTGTGCTCAATCTGAGGAAAACAATTAGCATAAATCTAATTAGCATGTTAGATATCAAGAAGGTTTGAGCACCAATGCTAAAGGGACTTTTAAAACCCTTTTAAAGACTTAAACACTTTTTCTCTCAGGCCTTTGAGTGAGACTACGACTTTATTTTAGTTGTCTTAATTTCCCTCTCCTTACTTGGTTTTGTTTTTTATTAGATTTTTTTGCTCTTACTGTTTTTAATAGTTGAGTTTGTCTTGTGTTGTGGTGATAATTGTGTTTCATGATCTGCTCTAATGGCCTGTACAGCTTAGCTTTGATTTTAGCTTTGGCTGACTGAAAGCGCTTTATAAATAAAGTTGAGTTGAGTTGACCCATAAACGGGGCTTTTTAAGACCCTGTTTACAGCTTTATGAGTTAATTAGAGGATAGAACGAAATGCAGAGTTTAGTTTGATGTCTTCAGAAGCAGATTTGGGTCGTCAGCACACCTGTGTGAGCAGGTGTGTTCCTGATTTGACACAGATTAAATCTCAGAGGAAACATCTCCTCAGTGGTTTCTTTTTCATTGCATTTGAACTCATCTTCGGCTTTTTTTCAAATTCCTCTATCAAAACGGACGCCTTCCTCCTGTTCTCCGACCCGGCGGTGCCTTCAGGGACTCCAGTATCTGGTATTTAAAAACCACCAGCCTGACTCAGTTTGACTTGAACTGATCTCATCCTGTTTTAACCCTTTAAAGCCTAATCCAAGAATGTAACAAAACAGAAAAATACTTTTTTTTTGGTTTGAAGTCTTTATTTGGCCTTTTTTACAAAATATGTCAAAAGAAAAAAAAGAAATACATTTTTAATATTAATAATTTATCACTATGCGATAAGTAAAGATTATTTTTTCTGTAGTCTTCAGGGGTATCTGATTGTGTATAATAGGATTTTGAGCAAAGTTTTTACCATTAAATTATGCAAAAGGTGTCAAACGCAAAACATTTCAGAAAGCGTGTATATATCATATCAAATCTGACACATTTGGCACTACAGGGTTAACTTTTTCCATCAGCCGTGACACAACCTCTTCTTCAGATTTGGGCTCGACTGTAAGACGAAAGCTGATTGGCTGCTTTAGGTTGTTGTTTTTAATGAAGCACAAAGAGTTTCAGCCACATTTTATCCAGCATTAAGATCAAAACGTGTTAGAAATGATCGGAAACTGGAGCGCAGTAGCTGGGAGGATGTAGCGTTTTTCCGATTCGGCCTTTTAAAAAACCAGATAAGTGTTTGTTTGTGGTGTTTTGTGCACTTCCGCTGCCTGTTGTTGTGATCTGTTCAGATTAAGGAGCTGCTGGTTTCACTCCGGATGAGAGTTACAGAAGACGAGAGGTCAGAGGTCGTCTCCGTGGCAACCAGCTGAGAGTCTGGAGCTGAAGCCACAACAGAGCCGGGG